AATTATGTTTGTATGATACCACTCTATTGTTACCTACAATTATAGTAAATACCAATTTTTATAAAAATCAACACTACATTAGATTTTCTATCATAAATCAAAATATTTTAGTTCAACATAAATAAAAAAATATATATATTCACAGAGTATGATTTTTCTGCATAACGTGTATTATTTTATTTTTAGTACTTTTTTTTATAATCATTAAAAATTAACATAAAAAGTAATGTAATATTGTAAGGGGAACTGTAATATCTTTGCAAAAGAATAGAAATCGAAAAGACTGATTAAAACTTAAAGTCCAAACGCTAAAATTGTTTAATAAATTCCGTCTAAAAATGTTTGGTTTTAAAAATATTTGTTGCTATTCGAAAAAAACTAGGTCGATACTTGTTTTACGTATTACAAGTATGGGCGTCGGTTTTTTCAAAATGGGAACATATGTTTTTAATTCCATAAACGTGTAGACTACACATTTTTAAAGAATGTCAGAGGATGAACTTCAATGTTTCAATTTATTTTCTTGTATTGTAGAACCCTGATTTTACAATAATTATAGATTAATTTTCAAATTGTTTTATCCAATACATATTATCATTTATTATTAATATTATCTATAATAGAGTATATATAACATCTACTTATAATCAATGTCAATATGTTATGAATAAAAGAAACCTTTTCAAGGATACCTTACCGAAAATATTTTACTTAAGGGAGTTTCGTGCATTCGGTTTTTTTTTCACGTTTTTGACTAAAAAACTAAACAAACTATTGACTATACTTAGGATGGTCTGATTTCAATTCTGTAGGAAACAGATTTTCAATTTTTTTCTTTTCTCATGTTAAATAAATTGGGTTTTTATGATGAGAAATTGGAAAATTGAATTGTCATGTTTTCAAACGATTCCACGAGGAATCCAAATTGACATGTAATTACAACAGTTTTTTTAAATAATAATAAAACTAATAATTTGTTGTAGCGAAATTGTGAATTTGGATCCAGCATTACTAATACTTTATGACTGAGTTTGATGATATTGTCAAGTTTATTTGAGAGGTTATTTTTGATTTTCGATTTTATCATTGGTTGGATATATAACATAGAAATGCCTTGTTTCTGGTTCTTATGAAACATTTACGTTTACCTTTAGTTTCGAAACAAAGACTACAACAGATTTATATTGAAACATTATTGAGTTATAACAATGATAATATTATGGGACCTGCATTCGGTCTAAATTGATGCCCTTTATTTGTACGTACAGTGGCGACTATAGTTGAAGTTAATATACTTCTTGATGTGCCTTTAAAATAAATATTAGTAGTTAATGCAATTTTTTACTAACTTATATTTGCTATTAATAATAATATTATTATTTGCTACTAATAACTATTATCATTGTTTTTTAGTTATAAGAAGCATGTTATAAAATATCATTAAAACATACATCAATTCAAAACCATCATACTTTGGGAAGAAATACTCAAATTGAATCATCAATTGTATGTAGAAATCATATTAAAACTACATTTTACATGGTTAAAGTACAGCATATTACTACGTAGTTCTGTGCTTTTATCAGCTGACATTCGGTCATATTTATATTGAGATTATTTTTGCAATTAATGGTCATTCAAATAGTGGCGATTCCTTTGTAAAGTAAAAGTGTATAAGAAACGAAGTAGATATAAAATGAATACCTAGCGTTCATTAAATGTTTTGTCCACCCCCCAAAAAGCACAACGATGGTGGTCTCTGAAAATGAGATAATTCTTGCTGTTGGTAATGTGAATGAGACTAGTAAATAACATACATTTTATGTATGAGATTAATCTTTAAAAACTTTTAAACTTTTAAAAATTAAAGTATGTATTTATTTATTAAAAAATATATTATACAATTGTTTACTCATTATATTAAAAAGCAGACGTTGTTATCGAGAAAAATTACTTATTCATGTTGTTGAATTATTATGGAAAACTATTAGGATTGGTTTTAAAATATTAACTTGCTTATTTTTTATGTTTTTATATGTCGGAACATGAGAATTGACAACGAAAATTCGTTGGTTAGCTCAAGCTGGGTAACACCTCTAAATTGTGATATTTTGTCTTAATTATGAGTTAATTAAAAGATATAAAAAGAATTATATTTTTTGTCATAAAATAGTAAATATTGTTTGTGGTTTTATAGCCAAAGAGTGGATCTTAAACGTGTTTATTAGAACTAAAATTATATAATAAAGGTATAGTTTTTTAATGTGTGCTTATTGTCTACTTGGAAACTATAAAATAAAGTCAAGTAATAGTTAAAACTATTCAAATCAATATATATCTGTAAGTTTTCCAGGTAGATTTTGGGACTAAGGTAAAATGCGAAACAAGTTGATTTGGTCGATTAGACTGAATATTACTAATAATTTCTCTAGACCTAAATAAAAACAAATGTAAGGCAAAAAATTTGTCTAAGATCTATGTTATACTTGGCAATAGCTATGAAGAAGTATTTAAGTTCAATAACGTATAAAAACACATGATCATATATTTATATTAAAATATTTTTCTTGTTTAATTATGACATTACATTGTTATTAAAAATGAAACTATTACAATTTTATGTTTATTTAAAATTGAAAATGTATAATTATTCAAAAATTGTGATTATATAATTATTTTATTTACACTTCTTAGAATATGGTTTTCTTTTTCATGCCAAGAAGTATCAATTAAAATGAGTATTTTTTTTTCTTAGTACAATAATATAATTTTAAATATACCAGTAACATATCATATTAATGCCGCAATCAATAAGATTAAACTTCAGATTGTACTTTATCAACGCTCACAGGTTCAGATTGTCCTTCATCAACGCTCATAGGTCCAGATTGTCTTTCATCAACGGTTAGAGGTCCAAAGTCTAGTTCTTTGGCTAATTCATCGTTTTTTAATCCATCTCTATGTGGCAATACCTATAAAGAAGTATTTAAGGGCAATTACTTACGAAAATCACATGATTATATAGTTATATAAAAATGATTTTATTGTGTTACTATGACATCATATTGTTATTAAAAATAAAACTATTGTAATTTTATGTTTATTTAAAATTGTAATTATATTATTTTATTCATACTTCTTAGAATAAGGGTTTTTTCAGTCCAAGAAGTATCATTTATAATTATATATTATTATATATCAGTACCATAACATTATAGTATAATCATAATGCCGCAATCAATAAGATAAAAGTTTAAAGTGTCCTACTTCAACGCTTATAGGTCCAAAGTCCAGTTCTTTAGCTTCAAAAGAAAAACTTAATTTGTATATATCATCACCAGGCAACAAGGTCTTTTCAATCTTTTTGAGAGCATCGTGGTAAGCAGGATGATTGGGGCTATTATATGTTAAAATAAAATAGTTATAATTTAATTTTTTAAATATCCTGTGCATGGCATATAAGTTCTTATAAAATGAGGTAGGTTGCTTGCTCTCGATTGTAATTAATTATATTGTAATATGTTGAATAATAATAATACACTATTAAAAAAAATAACGAAGCTAAAGCATAACAAAATCGGCGATTGAAAACGTTACCCAGCTATAAACTACTTCATTTGTTATAGCCCCCACAATAGTTGATAGAAATTATTGGTAGTGTGATAAACTACGGGCACCTATAATTTGTTTGATTATAAAATAAATTACAATCCATTATAAAAAAACGGTCTCATGACTTAAAAGATTACAAAAATATTGTAACATTATGCGTTCAACACTTAACATTGAATCTTTTTCATATTGTTGTTTTATTAAAAAAGACATACCTACTGTGTGTTTTTTTTGTATATATGAATCGGAACATTAAAACATTAAGTATTTATTGTTAATTTGAAATATTTTTAGTTACTTTTTATTATTCAGTTTCGTTATAGTGTGCCTAATATTAGATGCGATCTAGGGGAGATGTGGGGTTAATATCTAGCTTAAAACTAGCTCCCCCCACCAAAAAAATGTTGACCTCTGGCTGGCCCACCTAATGCTAAAATTCTGGTGCCGCTACTGGCTTAACTGATTTTGACCTTGTAAAAAAACTAGTCGAACATGTTTTTCCTAGTAAAGCGTTGATAAAAATATGAATACTCACTGGTTAGCTATAATAAACATCGAATCTGTAAAGCAGAAATATTTTTTATAAAACATAATATACAATATAAATTATTTTACAAAATAATAAAACATCTGTGCCGAAATATTTTGCCTAAGGTGTAGCAAAAAATGGCACTTGCACACCTTCCCTTAAACTGAATAAAGGTGAAATTACAGGTTTAACTAAATTTAATAAATAAAAATTGGTACAATAGGAAAGTGTTAAACTAAGTGACTTTGTCACTTTTGGTTATAACAAATTCTTTAAACCTGTGACTTCACCGTTCACAATATGACTGAACCCCACTATACAAGCTCTTTTAGAATTTGAAAACTTAAATTAAATATATTTGATACAATAGTGAAATAATTTTTAAGATATATTTTAAATTATAAATAACAAATTATTGCCATTGAAAAAATGTGTGTCAACTAAATACTCAGCACATTTATGTCTGTTACATGTATACAAACTATTTTTTAAATAATAAAATAAAAACAATTAATGACAAAATAGTGCTTAAAGTGTATATGGGCGGAAACGCAGGACTGATTTGTTTATTTAGCAAGTCTACGATTGGTATTATCATAGATTTTGATGGAAATGTTTATTTAAAAGGTATTTTAATACTTTCGTAACAATAGTTTCCCAAAAAACTATGACCTATCTGATCATTTAATAGTTCATCACTCTTTTATATATTACTCAAATCTAAAAGAAAAAATGTCATAATACCTGGACTAATATGATCTGGATCAAGGGGTCCCGCGGGTGTAACAATTTTACCATCTGCAAGGAAAATATTATAAAATAAAATTATATCAATTATATAAGATTATTATACTTTTACCTTGAGGTACCAACGACAGAAGACCCTTGGCTGTGATAAAAAGAAATATTACTTTAAATCGAACACATATTTTATTTATGTGATTACTAAGAATACTAACAATACAATTTTTAACATTTAACTTAGTAAGGAACATTATATTTCGTCTATTTTTTTTGGTTCTCAACTCACACTTTTTTTATAACCTTTAAATAATACTTAGAAATGAAGTCCCCTATTATTCATTCTAGTATATACACTATAAGTATGATAATTTATCACAATTGTATGCAAACGAGAGTGTGGTAACTTTATTACCTTTTATTCAGTCTATTCTAATAAAAAAAAAACAATATCCTTATAAAAATATTATTGTCATTTTAAAAATATTTCCATTGCGGCTTTTGTTCTAGGATTTGAATTGCGAATCAATTTTTCAATTAAATAGTTTTAAACATCTATAAATTTTGACTAAAAAAATAAGAATTGTATCTATGATGCTAAGTATAAACAAACACGCTTATTTCGTCATAGTTCAAAGATTTTTTACATTTTTTAAAATTGTAGTAATAGACGTTTCAAAAAGTAAATTGTTCTTGTAAAAATATATTTTTTTACCATTTTTTTAAAAAATACTATTTTTTTTTTATTGTATTAATTATTTTTACTTAATAATTACATGTACTATATTATTTAGACCCCCCCAAAAATCAAATGTTATGTTCGCCTATGATTATTTTTAGAATAATATGACATTTAAATAATATTATGAGTATGTAAAGTTAAGGTTGACATATTTATAATTACTGTAAAGATCTGTTCCAAATAGAACTAAGTAATTATGTTTGAATCCATCTAAAAAAAAAAAAATTAGCGATAAATGTATAGTGAAAACATAATAGCTGGTTATATGAACCATAGAATATTTTTATTTATATTTAGGTATTTAATTGTATCTATGAATTGTGGTATAAAAATGAAATATAAATTATACGTACGATTTGCAAACGTACAGACAACACAGACAGATAAAACAATAAAGTAATAACTGACAGTTGCCATTATAATGCGGATAAGAGTATATTGCGGTAAACGTTAAGAACAACTGTAGGAATGTGAGGGAATTTAACGAATGAAGATCGAGTTACCTATGTCGATCCGTTAGCAAAAATACAGAAACTACACCTGATCATACAGAGTAAACAGCAATAATGTAATGTGTGCCAAACATTTGGGAAGGCCCTTGGTTTTTAATTTGCAAAGAGTATGCCAGAAAAACGAAAAAACATATTGTAAAGCGTTCGAACTGAATAAATATTGTTCATTGTTGATTCAGCCAAAAAATTCCCTACATTATGTCAGCCCTGCACTAGTTTTACCTCCAGTCTAATTTTCAGACCATAAGTCCTAAAACTTTGATGGAAAAAGATAAATATAGACAACAATTTTCACTCCCTCTAAGGAATAGGGTTTGGGAAATTGTTTGGGTTTGTCCGGGCTCTTATCCGAGTTCGTGCCAAGCGGTCACGGCGAAAAGGATTGCCTTAACCGGCTGGTAGTACTGGTATTCGCCTTTGGTTGGACAAAATAATGGACAACGCCTAGGTGGTTAGGTAAACACGAAGGGAAGTAACCCTACAAACCGATCATGATCAGTTTTAAAAAAATAAAAGAAAAAAAGAAAATTACCACAAAAAAGAGGCTAAAAATAATTATAGTTTACATGAATAATATTGATAAATTTCTCATTTTATTCCGGTTTCACTCATGTTAATTGAATTAAGCTCTCTTCTTTTTTTATTCGATATGTCTTATATTATTTTCAATAACGGAGGATAATTTATTTCAGAATTATACAAAATCTACAGTTATGAAGCTGAACTAAATGTATTTAACCATATAGAGGCCCATTCTTTTTAGGGTGGAATAATTAATTATATTTCCGGGTTAGGTTGGGCTGAATAAAAATTATCGGTGTGTGAAGGTTTGTTTTCTTCAATATACATAATCATTGATTATAAATGTTATAGATATGTTGTGGGATAATATTACAGCTATGTAAAAATAATTTTAATGAAAACTTGATTTCGACCAAAAACAAAACTATACATTTTTTTTGTACTGTATTAAATTTTAAAGATTTTTCATATGTTTACATTGCTACAGTAATTTATAAAAAAAAATGGTTCAAACACTTAAATATACAAACGAAATATGAAAACAACTAGTTTTTGCTAAAGAGCAACGATAAAGTTGAATTTGTATGATACCAACGGAAAACATACATTTTTCATTTGTTTACATTGCAACAGACCTTGTGCAATAGTCGAATACAGACAATTTTGTTTAACTCTAATGTAGCTAAATCTATTCGAGTGGAAACAAAATTATATTGTAATAATATTATAGACATTTTAAAATAATTATAAAAATATAAAATGTATTTGAGGTTAAATGGTAGTAGTTTCAGGGTTTCGGTTTTAACGTATAATGCTTGTACTATGAATTATTTTCATTTACACAATACCGCTATTTTACAAAAATAATTCAAATAAATTGTTACTTACAAAAACAAATTTACTCTAACTACCGAAAATTGCACCAAAATTAGTTATATAACTTTTTAGTAACAAATGAAATTGCAGTTGTCAATAAAACCTCACAAACATAAAACCATGTAATTAAAATACCAGGCAGACAGTTTAAATTTATATTTTGTACGTTATAGATAACTTGTAATCCAACAATTTATACATTTTATTATTATTGTGTTTCTTCTATTAGATTGTCGTTTATTCTGGATTAAACTTATTTTTATAGCACTCATACCAATATTTTGTTTATAAATAGTTTTTTATTCATAATAGAAGAGGATATCCCATATTTAATAATAATTAGTCATCACTCAGCGATGACTAATAAATCGTTGAGTTAGTATAAGTAATTATATAAAACAAATTAATTTTATTTTTATGTTTTAATATGTCTATTACGCCAAATCCTATGGTACACGGATTTGGCGAAACGAATAAATTGGTGTAAATTTAAAGTTAAACGCTGACATTCTCTAAAATGTATAGACTACACGTTTATGGAATTAAAAACATATGCTTCCATTTGAAAATGTTTAGATCCAAAATTTCAATTTTTCAAAGTTTTAATTTTCTATTTGTTTTTTATTCCTCTGAAAAGATATTACAACATATATACTGTATTACTTAGTTTGTTAATTTTTGGTGATTATAAAAAAAAATAAAATAATACACATTAAGTAGCCAAACTATACTCTATGAAACCAATTTTTTTTGTATTTTTGTTGAACTGAATTTTTTCGATTTATAATGGTAAATAATTTAATTTAAATAATTTCACTAAATATTCATTTTTTTGACTTGGATCGGAGGAAATGTTTAATTTTTTTTTATAGGTACACTAAAACGCTAGTGTATATTTAATAATTAGTAGATAAAAATATAAAACTACCATTTAAATTTTAGTTGAATTTTCCGTATTGTACAAAAGCCACGATGACGATTTTTTGCATTAAATACAGCACTTTTTACAATGACTGCTGCAATGTACACAAATGACAAATATTTTAAATCGAACCTTTATTTTTGATTTTTGTAAAAATTGGTATTCACTATAATGTATGTAACAATAGAGAGTACTATCATACAAACACATTTTTTAAGCATTTCAAAACACAAAGAATAAAACATAATACAATTAAAAAACAACCGGTTAATTTTTTAGTGCATTTTGGTTGTGTGCACCATAGCATACTTAAACATCAATAATGTAATCAAAAACTATAAAATTGATTTGTAAACTATACGAATTGTTTTTAAAAAATATGACAATATTTATAATGTTGAAAATTAAAAGTAGCTAATGCCTAAAGGTTTTTGTTATAATTTCTACATTGAAGTAATAGCCGTTACTTAACATTGAAACTGGTATTGTTTAGTTCGTTTATTTTTATACTATATATCATATATTACACTTATCCACCATTATTAAGCAGACTGGATAATTAAATAAAATCATGTTAATGCAGCAAAAGTTAAACCCTTGTAATGCCATTTTTGTAGTTTTTACTAAAATATTAATTAAATAATATGTTTTAAACAACATTCTCATAAACAGAGAACTACATTTATACACACCATTGTACACCATTTATAAAAAAATAAATAAAATCTATTTTTGAATCGAGTTCTATTAAGAACCTCTTGGTAAAAAACAGTAAAATCATATATCCTTTATGGCAACTAAAATATTAATGATTTTATAATTCTGAAATATTGAACTAGCATCCAATCTATAGACATAGTGGGATATGAACTACGTGTCATTCTTACAATAGGTTGTAGCAAATATGAACATTTAGCTGGACTAAAACTTATTTCGACCTTGAAACAAGTTACATTAACGTTATTTTCGATGACCGGGATGAGTTCCAATCTGTTCCCTAAACTAATGTATGTTACCTATTTAAAATGTTTGTTTGTATTGATAGGGGGGGGGGAGTAATTATTTCTGTAATTTGCTTTAGTTTTTCTAAAATTTTACAATTACTCTATGATAATAACATCACTTTTAATACCCAAAATAACTTTCTCTACATGGACTTATTAAATCTATCTCTTATTTATTTAATATGAAAATACACGTTTATTTGAACAATACACGCGCACCATATATTTTTGCTCATGTACTAAAACTTAAAATGTACATACACTAAGAGGCTTCTGACCCCTTTGGAATTTTCAATCTCGATTTACCCTAAACGAGTTTCATATATTTTTTCATATTTTTTTTTTTACAATATGTAATGTATTCGTTTATACAAAATATATTGTATACATTTCAACTAGCTTTAAAAATAGTGCAACGAGTAAATCTTTGTAAGATAATTTGTTTAGAAATTATAAGTTTTCAGGTCAATATTAAACATAAAAACTTTACGTAAAGCTGATAATCTGAAATTCGAACTAGACACAATTATTGATAGATAACATTATAGTTCTACCATTTTTAGTAAAGCAAGCACTCATTACGACAGGCCCTTTTGCTCTTTGGGCAGTTATATAAATTTAAAAAGAGTCTCTAGAGATATTTTAGGGTAGATACAGGGTAGCTTTTAGTCCTAGTTAGGGCCCCTTATTTTAGCTCTAGAAGGCAGAAAGTCGTTGGTGTGATCCACTCGCCGCACTGCACCGTAACTATACTTATTTAAATTTTTATTTTTATTGTTAGGGGAGGGAGTAATTATTTCTGTGGTTTGCTTTAGTTTTTCTAAAGTTTTACAATTACTCTATAACAATAACATCACTTTTAATACTCAAAATAACATTGTCTATATGAACATTTGTGTTACGAATTAACAACAACCATATTACTATTTCCAAAGAATTGTAATTTTGCAATTTGATGGTTGATAAAACATTTTATTTATTTTCCAATCTAGTAGTTAAGCTTTGGCCATCAGAACGTTACACATCTGGTTTTTTCCTATATGTATTTGTACATGAGTAACCTACATATGTTTCTAGTTTAATATCAAAATATGTTAACATATGTTAATATGTTAAAATATATTACAATTATTTTAACAATACACGTGCACGATATTTTTCTGCCCACACAAATTACGCTAAGACAACTCTACAAAACAAAGAAATTAAACGCGTATGTGGTTGCTCAATTATTATAATTTTTTAATTATTAACTATAAAGTTTTAAATATATTCATAAATTTACATTTTTTTTTTTTTGTTGAACAAACGGTATAAATGATAAATCATCTATAGACTCGTTCATTTTTTTGTCAAATTATTAGCGGATTAGAATATGTATTGGCGGGATGTTCAATGTAAAATGTTAACTGTACTTCGACTCTTGTATGTAGGGTTTCAGGATTTTTTTTTTACACTGTTTGTCCACCAAAACAATGCTACTATAAAAAAATGCTAAAACATTAATACCCAATTTATTTTACACGAGAAAAGAAAAAAATTAAAAATAGATAGTTTGTGTAGTTTTTTAGCCTAAAACGTTAAAAAACCGACTGCACGAAACTGCCATAAGTAGA